CTAAGCAGTCTAAATGTGGTTTAATAGTTGGAGCCAGATGCAGTGATTCTAGCCACCCAGCTGGGACATTCACAATTCTATGTCTAGAATTTACAGTGAATGGTGCAATAAACAAACAAACAGTACCCTGTCGGCAAAAACTCCTCGATAATGAGAAAGGTCAGAGGATAATGGCAAGACTCATTAAATCTAACCGAGAGGCCGTGAATGCAAAAATAAGCTTGCAATACAACAATTGTGTGCAGAATGGCATCTGCGAATACAGACCTGGTCAGTGGGTGGTCCTACCTGGAACCATGTACGTTCAGAACCTCTGACGTGTGCAGCAGAATTGACTGTATTTACACCATTATACAGTATATGGAATCAGTATACTTCGCAATCATTGTTTCCTACACCATATAATGCTAATGACAAACGTATAATAATGCATTTTTCAAATCCTTCAGAAAATAAAACAATTTGGATCATTGGAAGTCCATAAAAGGGCTAGATACAGCAACTGATTCTGGGGCACTCAAAGGAAACCAGACACCCAGAAGCACTCAGATCCACTCAGGTCCAGGTGGACTGAGCTATGGCCAGTTTCATACTGTAGGCTATCAGACAGCAGCACATCCTGTTCAAGCTTTACCCCCTTATACCTCTTTTATTTCAAGGTAAATGCAGACAGTCCAGTGCCGCCTGTCAGTCTGTTACAGCACGCAAAGTCTGCAGCATGGAAAGTCACGAGTTATTCTAATGCCATTTGTTCTTGCGCGTCTGTTTACTTAAACTTCCCTGTGTGGTCCCACGGCTCAGCATTTTGATTGGCTTTCTGTTTCAAAATAGAAAACAAATGGATGGATAGGAACAATTTTGGCAGCACCTTTTCCAATCTGAAACAGCCACCTTCTTCTGCTTAAGTTCATTGTGTTCCCTCCAGGAGCGTTTCTTTCTAAAGCCAGTGAGCCTTTTGTACCAACAAACTCAAGTCTCCTTCGACTCATTTTCTCCCTGCCATTAGTAACGAGGTTCCTTTCATCAGTGTCTGACCCACAGTCTTTACTTGATCTCCAGCAATTTGTCATTTGTCACTAAAAAGAGTTGGTTCATCACAAGCTGTTGTGCTTTGATTTATTGGCATATTCCATATTCCATATTCAACATTATCAAATCTTTTATTTGTGTTCTTCTACTAGTACGTCTGTCTGTACAGACCCATCCAATCTGAATTATCTACATGAAAGAAGACTGCAATTCTGTCCTCATCTTGAGATAATGTTTATTATAGGGTGGAGCATTTTGACTTTAAATAGATTGGAGAGGAAATCAAAAGGTTGGAATTCAATTATTTTTCTTATGGTGCCCAAAAATGAGTCTTTTAATGGCAGTCCCAATGCACTTCAGTTTTGCTGAAAAACACTTTCATTTTGTGACCCAAAATCTGAATGTCAGAGGCAGAGGTCACATCACGGATGTGTGTCCTGTGCTGCTCTCTGAAACGGCTCTATGGAAATCCTACTCACGTGTTCGGAAGGTGTGATTTCAACCAAGGCGGAAAATGCCAGGCAATGACAGAGACTAGGCATGACATCAGGATGCAGTATATATGCAGTATATAACATCTACGGGAGTTGATGTTGTCATAAATATGAGAAATGGATGTGCAGCTTAATGAGTCCCTCGGCCAACATGATCAATGGGTGCTAATTCAGTTTGTAAGCTCCCCCCCCTTTAATGCACCTCTGTGATCATCTTTGGCATTTTGCCCTTCGCGGACAAATTACACTACAAAAAAGAGCAAGTTGAGGGAGGCGTAAAGACAATTTCCCCACAGGGATCAATAAAATGTCAATTATTGTGGGCAGTGGTGGCTTAATGGTTAGGGATGTGTGCTTGTAATTGAACGATTGCAGGTTTGAATCCCTGACCAGCAAGGCACCACTGAGGTACCCTGAACAAGGTCCTGCCCCCAAGCACTGCTCCCCGGGCACTGAATTAGCTGCCCCCTGCTACAGTACGTCACATTGTCGCATATGGGTTAAATGCAGAGAACACATTTTGTTGTTGTGCTGTGGTGTGTCGACAATTAATCACTAAATTCAAAGCGGTCTGAACTGGTTTTAGTCCAGCTCAAACCACAGAGACACCATTGAGACATCCTGGCTCTCTCAAGAAACCATTAGATCCCTGGTTCAAATGGTGCATGTTGTATTTAACGGTCGTGGCTTTCTTTGCAGTCTGGAAATGGACTGCAATAGCATAACCTAATAATGTACTATGTTTCACAAAAGTATTTCAATAAAAAAAGACATTTGCTGAACAAAAGGAGCAGGTTGGTGTGAGGAGGATGAGGCCTTGTAGCCGAGGGATACAGGAAAATGGCCTGGAGAAGAGGGCCTTTTTGGAAATGCATCCATATGGTCAGAGGACACCATGTAGCAGGTCATTCTGAAGCAGGTCATCTTCAGTGTCAAAAAGGTGACTTCGGGTTAGCTCCAGTGTTACTAATCTCCTCCATTCATCCATCCATCCATCCATCCATCCGTTTTCTGTAACCGCTTATCCTATTTAGGGTTGTGGGGGTCTGGAGCTTATCCCGGAGGCTACGGGCGCAAGGCAGGGAACAACCCAGGATGGGGCACCAACCCATCACAGTACTCCCCCCAGTCCTGATATATGGAAACCATCGAAACCCAAACTCACACCCCTTCCCTCCATCCGCGTCTCCATAAATAAAATGTCTGAAATCAGAAGTATCATTGCTGTCAGATACATAAAATAAGCATGGTACTTTGTTCCTATATCTCACTCATAGGATCATGCACATAAAACATGAGTAACATGTTAAAAAATGAAATAAGGTACACAAATTAGAACAAAATAGCAGCGGACACACACTGGCCATTGGGAAGTTCGGGAATATTCCTGGTGAGCCTTTCTTCCCCAACCTTGGCATTATGTAGCCTATAAAACAGGGGTGCCCAACCCAATCGGTCTAATATGTCGTCGTTTTTCCAGGTCGATCAAGGTAGATGATTACTGGATAATGCAACAGGTGGAGAATACCAAGGGCCATATTGCTGGGCCCCATTTTTGTTGCCAGTCCATCCCTGACTGCCAGGAGATTAGAACAAATACACATCAGAGAGATACATGCATTATTGTACATTGAGTTATTTTATAATAGTGACACGTGCATCCATTTGCTCATGTTTTTCTCTTGTTCCTTTGGTCTCTGTGCCATGCCATTTTAGCAAAAGATTAGCCAGAATTTCAATAAGCCTTCGAGGGCAAATTAGGGCTGAAAATACTAGCATGTGGGGAGGCTGGGTTGTCATGTCCCTCCCCCAGGGAGGTAAGGCATAATGGTTCTTGAAGCTGACAGGGTCCTGGCCAATTTGCAGTGCAGATAGGTTTACTGCTGTCAGAATAACATGCTCAGCATGGAGATCTCTTGGTCACCTTGGGAATTTTTTAAGTTTCTTTTTGTGCAGCGTTGAATAGCTCAATGCAAATTTTTCACTGCTTTGCTATTGATGTCATGGTATAATGAATTAATAATCAGATATTGTGAAAGGGTACCTACATCACTGTAAGATAAAACACTTTGTGGAACTTATTGATTATATAAGTAACAGAAGTTAGTTGTTCCTGACAAAAGGTGAAATGAGTGGCTAAATTATTGCAATGGTTCACATCAGTGGCGCTTAATTATGCCTTATTATTATTATGGCCTTGTGACTTAAATTCTGTAATGCATATGTTTCAGCCTGCATTTAATGCTGCATTAAGCAGAGTTATGATACTGGTTGCAACTGATGACATCTTGTCTGGAAAATCAATGACATCACAATCGAGCTTGCCCAGATTGTCCATCTGTCTATAATCGAGGAGTTAAGGTGGCACCGCATGTCAGTGATAAAAATGAGGAATATTTCATTACATAGAAAGTGAAGTCTCCTTAAAAGTCACCTTCAGGGCACTGCAAACTGAACCAGGTCTGTGTGATCTTGTTCTAAACAGAGCAATGAACATTAATTTAATGTATCGTTTAAGCAACATAAACCTTCATGGTCTCACTGTGACTGTTAACAAAGCTGTATCTTCCTCTGCCTGAAAACAAATATCTGGTATCACACATGTACACAACCAGTCCATTATCACACATGTACACAGCCAGTCCATTATCACACATGTACACAGCCAGTGCATTATCACACATGCACACAGCCAGTTCATTATCACACATGTACACGACCAGTCCATTATCACACATGTACACGACCAGTCCATTATCACACATGTACACGACCAGTCCATTATCACACATGTACACAGCCAGTCCATTATCACACATGTACACGGCCAGTCCATTATCACACATGTACCCAACCAGTCCATTATCACACATGTACACAACCAGTCCATTATCACACATGTACACAACCAGTCCATTATCACACATGTACACGGCCAGTCCATTATCACACATGTACACGGCCAGTCCATTATCACACATGTACACAACCAGTCCATTATCACACATGTACACGACCAGTCAAAGGTTTTTTTCACACCTCAGGTTTTTACCACTTATCAATTTGTTTCAAAAACTGCAGTTTTTTTTATTGTTGTTAAGCGTTGGAAAGTTGAGTGAACAATTATAAATGAAAATATAAGTCAAATAAAACAAGTTTCCTTTATAACATGGAAAGAATATGTAATGGTGCATTTGGGAAACCTAATTCTGTACATAAATAGCCAATATATAGATCATTCATTTACTAATTTACACAAACAAACAAAAAGTAGGACCCTACCTTGATAATATACATGAACTCTAACAGATTTCAGTTCTAGTCTTCTGGCACAGTGTGCTTCTAGAACATAGTGGATGTCTTGAAGATAGTGATGCCAATAGTTTACAGTATGAGGGACTCGCCATTTTGGGGGGTGGGCACTGTGAGACTGAGTCCCCGTCTCAACACACATTACAATGATAATGAGTCAGATACCTGTAGGAAGGCAGCCACAGCCCGAGACATATTCAGCGACTCGCCCTCACAGCACACAGGGAGGTGAAGTCCTCTCTTTTGCTGTTTGGCTGTTTCACTGTGCATGGATTCACTGATCTAAGCTGCCAAAAATAACAGGCCTCAGATTGAGCTTTCAAGGCATCCTGCTAAGCCATAGATAGAAATAAACAGAGCTACCTTCTCCTGAAGAAGTCCACACTTCGGGTGGCTTTACTGGGGGTTCTGGCTTGTGGACATAAACAAATGCGTGCACAGCTGGGTGGGGCCATGTCGTATGTAACATCACGCTGTTTGCGGAGGACTCAACAGCAGTTTATGATGAAATGATGTTTACATTGGTCTTTCTAGGTATATTCAATTGCGTAAATACAGATCTGTGTGCATAAACAAAAAACACTTCGTCTTTATATTCAAGTCAAGACAATCTTCCCAAGGTGCTGGATTTGATAAAACGCACATTAGAATCAACAATAGTGCCATCTACTGGGGGGAAAAAAAGTTTTTTGGTCGAGTTCGACCTTCGAAAAACGCTTCCGGTCGCTTATGCGCTTACCTTGAGAAACACTTTCGGAGGCTTACATAAGAAAGCTGAAATGTTTCTTTTATTAGTAGAAATTAGTTCTTTTTACCAAAAAGACATGGAACACGTTTTTAAAGACATGCACGGTTGTTTGAAATACCTAGATCTCAACATTTCACTTTGAAATCAGGTGAAGCATTTGTGCAATGTATTTTTGGTTTGACCTATTTTAAAGGGAAATGTTGGTACAAGTCTCAAACAACGAAATTAATAATTATATCATTTAAGATGTTGTAGCAAACCAAATATCCCAGAAATAATTTGCATTCATTTTCACTGAAAATGCTGTTGATTTCTTGATTTTAAAGAATTAGAGAAGAGATAGGTTTGGGTTTATAGGCTACGACTAAAGAAACAAAGGATTTCTGTTGACAGTTGTTTAATAAACATTCACACCGCAACATCTGTTGCGAAATCTCCACTAGCTGTAAATAGACAGGATTGGTCTGAGTAGCTCTGATCGAGTTGCCTCGTTAGTTTCTTAAAAATTGGCCTATCTGAACCGTGATTTAAACCACAAGAGATTTTTAGTGCGAAAAACGTCCGGGAGGGATCCATGTGAAACCAAGATAATGTATAGGCTACCGGTAATTTGGTTTCCAAAGACCTTTGGAGGACTGAACTGAATCACTGATAAATATTGTGGTATATAGCCTCTGATACCGCAATAAAGCCCTGTTTCTAATAATTTCGCTGCTGTTGACCAGTTTAGCTGCACAAAAAGGCTTTATTCGGTGCAAGTATTTGAAAGCATGAGTTGCTACGATTAGAAAAGTCATATGGGAAGTAAATTTACATTATAAATTTCAGTCCAAAGGTATTGGTATATACTTTTACAGTAAATACAATGAGAGCAAAGTTTGTGTAGCTGATTATTAGGCTATCGATCATATTTTATTAACCATATGAACGTATTACATTAAACCGCATATTGTTGCACATTATCGGATATTGTGAATGTAATCTGTTAATTATGTTGCATATTTAACAAATGCTTTTTCAGGAAAATGTGATTACACACCCGTGTGATTACACAGCACAATGCAACACAGACCAAAACTCTCAAGAAATCGAGTTGGAATAACATGAAAATCATTCGAATCTTGCAAGACAGAACTTTATAAAGCTTGTTTTCAGTGAAGTTATGAGAGAAACGCAGTTGGCATGGGTTCTAACATGCGACTTCTGTTAAGCGTAAGGTGCTATTATCCAAAATTAACATGCATCTGTTGCAGTTCAGTAAGACAAAATATGGGGATGATGATGATGATAATGAGCTATGTTTTGCACTGCTGTGAAAATGAGCCTTAACCTCCGTTAGCAATAAATAATGCGCCTTTCCTTGTTTATTTGATGACACGCAAACTTGTGAGAGGTTATTCAAAGTGAGCTTTGAACTTCAGAAATGGGTTGGTCGCCAGTGGCAAAGTTCACAGACTTCTTAAAAACAGACTTTATGTTTACTGCATCTTCTGCGGATTACATGACTTTGTTAAATATTATATTATATTATATTATATTATATTATATTATATTATATTATATTAATAGTAGTAGGGAATAATGCAAAAATATCCGCCGAAGTAATGAATGCACATGCACATTTTGCATTTAGGCTACATAATAATGAATTATTAGGCCAAATGATATTAATGCCTTCGAGATTGAAATTGCCCATGAGCATTAAAATAATATGCGAACAGGACGGAAACACTGCCATTATAATATAATCACTACAGATTTTTTTGAAACACAGAAGTGACTGAGAGAGCCCTTTAAGACCCAGTGCGCGGCGACACCGACCAGCATTTGACTGAGTTTCTGCAGCGCACGCAGCTTGTGGTTTTGACCGTGAAGTTGACAAGCATCAGCTTACAACGCCACACACTTAAAAAACAACAGAAGCTTCCCAAGAAGTTGTGAAGGACGTGGATTTTCACTGGGCTGTGAATACTATGAAAATCCCTGGAATAAATTATCACTCTCTTTTCCTCTCCAGTTATCTAAGTGTAGGGGCTTCGCAACTCTTGGCAAATCGCAAGGATGTCTGAAAGCATGGCGCTCTCCAGAAACGACACCCTCGCTTGGACAAGTGGTTTCATGGATATTAATCAAACGTCGAGCGAAAATCACGGAGGGCCAGAAGCGATCATTGTCCCAGTTGTCTTTGGATTTATATTTCTAATGGGTATTATAGGCAACACGCTTGTAATGATTGTTATTGGAAGGATTAAGTCTGGACGCCCCAGAAACACTACTAATATATTTATCCTGAATCTCAGTATAGCAGACTTGTCCTTCCTCCTTTTTTGCGTCCCTTTCCAAGCAACCATTTACTCCCTTCCCGAGTGGATATTTGGGGCTTTTCTTTGTAAATTCGTTCATTATTTCGTGATGGTAAGCATGCTGGTCAGCATCTTCACTCTCGTCGCAATGTCCGCGGACAGGTATGTCGCTGTGGTTCACGCCAAAAAGTCTCCCTGCATCCGTAACAGAAAGAACGCGTTAAATGGAGTTTGCGTTATTTGGCTGCTCTCTGCCGTCTTCGCTATCCCCGTGGCCCAACATCAGACACTGACCAGTCATCCAGAGGCACCAAACAGCTCATTCTGCTGGGAGACGTGGTCCGACAAAGTGTCCAAGCACATCTATAAAGTGACAATTTTGATAATTGGATATTTGTTGCCACTGGTTTTGATAACATGCTGTTATGCTAAGGTAAGGAATTATTCTTTTTTACTATATTATTTAGCTTATTTTCCGGGCATAGGTTCTGTAAAAAGTGGTGCGAGTTCTTCTGTCCTGGACACCTTAATTAATGCGCATTTGCACTATTCCCTCCAAATATGTGTAGAATAAATGACGATAGAAATTAATTGCAAAAGTAAATCAGCAAGATTTGTTCAATATAATGGCCGTAAAACATGAAAATCACTTGCCTTGATTATCCATGTATCTGCAGGATGAGAATGGAACTTGACAAATGTTACAGAAGACCGCGCGTAAACAGGTGTTTCACAAAAGCTCAGATGCAAGATCATTAGATCAGATGAAAAGTAACGGGCCCGCGAAAGGCAATTAATAACAGAATTAATATCCTGTCTTTCAAACGTATCGATTTGGCGCAAGCTGGTAGGGTTATGTCAAGAGCTGTGCCCTCTATGATACTGAGAAACATGAGGCTATAATGCTTTCAACACACTCTTTGACGTCAATAGGTGAAAAACTTAGCGTCTTTTATATTTTTTATGACTATTTTCCTTAAATGAATTTATTATCTATTTTAATATACAAGTGTATCGAACGTATCTGAAAACCGTTTTTGATCTCCTTCCACACATTTACTTTTAAAAAGAAACCTAGCGAGCCGGTAAATCTCCAAAACAAATATACAGCTTAGACACATAAGAATGGTAATAATAAATGTATGCATCATTAAGTGAATGGTAATTCTGTGGTGCAAATAGGGACTATGCTTCCTTTCTTACAAGTCACGTGACGTGTATAACGCCAGTCTTCGGTTTGAGTGGTTCATAATCCCTGTCGCTTGTTTAGTTTGCTGTGCCCTTATGTAAGCTCTGCTCCCCATTCTGCTCCTCCCAGTGGCACATCCAGCGAGACCTTTTCATTACATGCAAAATGCCCATGCGTGAGACATCCTAGTGCAGCCCCACCTGTTGTATAATCTGGTTTGCAACTAACTCAATGGGCAATAGATGGTGAAATGGTTGAGGCAGGATTGCCAAAACTTTGGTCAGCTGGCTGGCACAAGATTTTCAATCCCATACAAGTCTGCACTCAAATACACACGCATTTACATGTATGTGACAGTTATATCACCTTGTAAATAGTTTGTAGGGTTTGCAAACAGCCCCAACGCTTTTGATGTAGCTAATCTTTGGTTTATAATGGAATAATGTAGATTTGCCATAAGATTTCTAGCGTGAGCGTTAGAGCCTGAAAATGTGAGTGTCACGCCAGATGTGTGAGAGCTGGTAACCCTGTTAAGGAGCTGGTCTTGTGACTAAAATGTGACAAGCTTTTATACTAGTGAGTAGATTGATGCTAGACATGATAGTGATGCTGAACTGTTCCTGCGTGTGTCACACAGTATAGCTAGGTAACTCTGTAATCTGTGAAAGTTTTGGTTATAAATATGACATGTAAGTTGACATGTCTTCCTGTGGAAGCGCGGTGACGTAACCTGCGATTGAAATAAGGCATTGAAGAGAGGGGATGAGTTTTTCATCAGACACCAAACATTCTCCAGTTTACAGAAAACTCCAGACATTCCGAAAGCATGTATCCAAACTTAAAATGTAAGAAAAATATTTGCAATGTTTGCCCTAAATCTGTGTAGTCTGTGATTAATTTAGCAATATCATGGTTGAATTGAGCACTTTGCTGCAGCAGCGAGGTTTTTTGATGGTGTGTGAGTGAATGGTGTGCGAATGATTGGTGTGAGAGAGACTGGCGTGTGAGTGAATGGTGTGCGAGTGAATGGTGTGTGAGTGACTGGTGTGTGAGTGACTGGTGTGTGAGTGAACGGTGTGTGAGTGACTGGTGTGTGAGTGACTGGTGTGTGAGTGACTGGTGTGTGAGTGAACGGTGTGTGAGTGACTGGTGTGTGAGTGTATGGTGTGTGAGTGACTGGTGTGTGAGTGTATGGTGTGTGAGTG